AGTTACGTGTATATATTCTGTATTATTTTACTTTTTTGTTAATGTAACCAAATACCGTTTTTTATAAATAAATTTTTTAAATCTATTTTTATGGACGGTCATATTACCATCCTTGTTTCTCTTCGAGCATTGTGCAGTGTCATTTTTATAAATTTTTATAAATAGTGTTCTAAATAATAAATGTTGTAATTTTGAGTCTAGAATTGATTAAACAACACTTTAATGAATGTAATCATTAAGTTTTAAATTTAAATATTGATTATTAATCAAAAGTTATTATATAAAATATAAATTAGATGCTATAATACCATCTTCTCCTCGCTACATATTAACTTATAAAATTGTAATGCTATTTCTACTTCTTGAAAAGAAACTATCTTACTGTAATATTAAAAAAATATAATATATATATTGCTCGAGCTTCTTTGATTCTTGTTAATAAAATTATTTATTGGATCATCTTAACTTTGTATTATCACATATTTAAGCATAATATTAACTAATACTACAATAATATATTGAATTGGCATTAGCATTTGTTGTAGACAAAAATAATGTTGTGAATAAAAAATCTAATTGACAGAATCAATAAATTGCAATCGAAAAAAATTCGATCGAATATCATTATATCACCTCCAATCAATCTCATTTTCTTTGAAAGGGGGCGCACGCCCTATCTTCTCCGTTTGGAGATGACCGTGATGGACATCCTTCGAGGCCACGTTTCTTTTAGCGCTCCCTAAGTTGAAAGGTTTCTCATTTTATCAAGAAAATTAACCCTAAAGCTTCCGAGAGGAGCAAACATCGCTGACGGTTGAAGCACAAAAAATTAATGAAATTAAAATGTACACCGGTATGCCGTTGCATTACTTTTTTGTCGAATTTCGTTCCCGTTTTTCACGAAGCCAGTCGAGATAACTTTTCATTTTGAACAATTATAGGATCGTAGAAAATTACACATAGGACGAGAATGAACCAAGTCGATCTGACGATCGCGATTACGCGAAATAGCACGAGGCGAACGAAGCTTTACTCAGGATTTCGAGGAACTTTTCCGTATCGATCGTACGCCCTTACAGAACCGTATAGCCTTCTGCGTATCTTCAACTCTCTGCGAACTCGATTGTAAATTTTCCATCTCGAATATTCGAAGGTGGCGGTGGACCACCAGATGCACTCTCCGCGAATGACCGAGGTGCGCGTGTGCATGCCGGACCTCGCGGTTTATCCGCACAGAAATTTATAATATACACATCGCGCGTCCAAAGTCAGCTAATCAAAATTTCTCTCATCCTGAATTTTATCTGACAGTAACTAATTTACTTTAAAATTGATACTATAAAACAATTTTTCCTTATCGACGAATCTAGAACCAACATGTTGAAAGTAGACTAGCTCATACGCAATATTTTATCACATTATATAATTACGCCATAGTCGCCACAGTCCGTTACTTTCTTTTGATGACTGTAGTCCCAAGAGAGAGTAATGTCGTTTTACTAATAGCGCTCTTGCAATATCGTAAGGTGAAGTTAGATTGCACCAGCGGGGATAATTTTACCCTAATGAATGAAGATTGTAGTACAGTGTAATTTATTAGTTTCGGTGTACTGATACTTTTTTTTTACCGAAGCAGAAATCGGAATTGGTATACAATCTTCGCGTGCCCATTGTTGGAATAAAGGGACCATTTTCCCGTATCGAGTCGGACTTCATTGAAGCTATATCGGTTTCTATCAGTTTCAGTTCTCAATAAAAAGTGCGAGTAGGGAGGGAATCGCATAGATCACCATGCTTAACCAGTGTGGCATCGAAAATTTACCCCGGCTAAAAACGCTGGACGATTTTAGCCGGCGTTACTCCTGCTCTTCGAGCGGGGTTCGGATTTGGGTTTTGCCGCAGGGGTAGGTGCGCAGAGTGAACGCGGATCGATCCCCCTCGGCGCGAGTACGAATGGGGGGTTGCGACCGAGTCGCCCTCTCCGTTGCTCGGTATCCTGGCGTATTCATCCTCGAAAACGGGAACATTTAAATGGTGCCACGTTGCCCAACGGAACCACCGAAATTTGAACACAATCGGCGAAAATCGGTGGTACCACGAGTATCGGTATCGCAACATCGAGATCGTTCGCGACACCGATCTGAGAATATAATTTTGCGAGGAAGCAAAATTTAGACGCGAAAAATCGGCAAATCTGTTTTCAGTAAAGAAAAAATAACGAGTTGTTATCGGTACGATACGCCGCGGGTCTCATTATCGGACGCATTTTATCAGACTTCGTACCGCTGTTATAACTCGAATGTAGGTTAGCGGCGGCGGATCCAAGAGAAGGGATGCCGAGTTTTCTTCGAAAAATCAATAGACATTTCTGCCCCTGGGTTTCACCTTGTCGCGCTAATAACGCCTGCCGTTAACTCGCTTTCGAAGATTCGTATCGCAAGCATTTGTATCGAGGGATCTAATAGCTAAGCTCATGGGGGAAACCTCTATGCAGGATTTATTCATAAATTTAATGATCGCGCGCGTAAAAGTAAGTCTTTCTTTCAATACAACATGCGAACATTGTAAACAGTATATGAAACTTTCTCTTGGATAGAAAATTATTTTGTTTTCACTTTCTTTCATCAGTTCATATCACTCTTGTTAATGTATATCATACGCTATTTGAAAGCATGCAAGTTCCGTTTGAAATTAAATAACAAATAAAATTTATTTGTATAATTTGTTAACTTTTTACTACAATTATCTATATCCATTCTGATTTACGTAAAGAAATAATTAGTTCCAAATTAGCTAAAGAATTTTGTAAATGAAGCCGCCGGGTTGAGTTCGTAAACATTCCCCGTAGTAGTCCAGGATTAACCGCAGAGCGCGTGCATCTCATAGTAACTCGCTTCGCGATAGATTTCCAACGTAATTGTGGCGCAGCAACAATAGTGTCGCGTATGCGAATAAATTCGCCGCGCAGCCTTACGTACGCGTACACGCGATAATTCGCGGGTGGACTCTCGTCGATCATTGGTCGATCGTTGGTCGCGAATCGAAGTTGGGACGAGGTCGAGCGTGAAGAGATCCCGTTTACCTTCGCAAGTACGTTTCCACCTGGTTCGTACATACCTGAGGAACCTGTACAGTCACGCTCGCACGGTTTCTAGCGATCACCGCTGTATCAACTATTTTATATCCGGATATTTACGAGGATATTTGCACTTATTTTATTAAGCATGTAATGTGTTGCAACTAGTACACCTAAATATACTAGTATTATTCGTCTATCCGCGACATTTCTCCCAATATTCCTGATTCCAATTTCATCAACGATGAGTGAACCCGACAAGTTATTTACACAATATAGTCTATGTAGAAACTAATGAAATTCAATCTTTAGACTTGTATCTATAATACACTTATATGAAAGTCTCCGTGAAATAATCCCTATTTAGAAACATGTATTGATTTTTTTAAGCTTACTGAGAAAAATAGTCTGATTGGATTAAACAGTAATTTTGGTGAAAAATGGACGAATCAGAATTTTCTGGTTAAATCTACTAGAATTCTAGTTGAGATAACTAAAATTTTGATTGATATATTCTGATAAAATAAGAATTTTAGTAAATTTTACCAAAATATTGTATCAACTAGAATTCTGATTATCTCAACTAGAATTCTAATAAATTTAATCAGAAAATTCTGATTCGTCCATTTTCAATCAGAAATTTTTTTCAGTGTATATATTTTATATATACATATATATATAATATATATTATATGTGTATTGCTATTATCACGCTTGTTTTTTTAATTATGCTATTTTTGCTGGAAATACCCATAAGTATTTGTATTCAGGTCGACGCGTGAAAAATCATTATTCATCAAATACTAATGTTTCTTTCTGAATACGATTCAATTTTTCGTTATCATTTTTATTTTCATATCTTTCCTTTCTTGTATTTTCTTTCCTTTTTATGTATTTTATTAGATTTTTAATTTAAGGTTTAGTAAAATATATCAAAAGTTTACGGTCAAATTGATCGAAGGAATATACAGTCTTTCTTTAATTTTCTTTCACGTCTTCTTTCCCAATCGATTTTATCGTCCCTCAGGACTTCTATCACTAACAAGCGCTTATTTTGGTTGTTATATTTTTTACGAATAATGTTTTGTATAAACTATTTTAAAATTTGTTTTTGTGAAAGTGTCAATAGATAAGCGCTGTCAATTATTAAAAAGAGATCAAATACAAAACCATTTTTAATGTTTTTATCGCCTACATATTTTATATTAAATTGTTGCTGCTTTCACATTTTTACCACAATTTTAAATATTGTGGTCGATATTCCATTTGTTTCATATTCGCCACGATTATATGGAATGATTCTAAATCAAATAATTCATCTATCAGAGTTTCTGACTAATTAAAATGAGTGGCATAAGAGAAGTTATTGTCATAAATTCGTTTTTAATATTTTTTACATAATTTTTAAATAAAAAATTTATTCTTTTTGTCTTTTTTGATTAGATAAGTAATATCTATCTCGTTATATGTTTGCATTTCTAAAAATTTATTTTATCTGAAATATTTTTTGTTTCCAATTGCTTGTTTAAAAACTTTTGATCTTTTACGGTTTCGTTGGAAAATGTTGAAAAATCAATAAAGAGAATTCATATTAATTAAAGAATCCATATGAAATATAATTTAGCACAGTTTGTAGATACGTGTTTTTAAGGGATGTCAGTCATATTAAATTTACGTCAGTCATATTTTATCGAAAAACAAATTGAAATTGCGAAAGCAAGTCTAATACAAGATTAATCTATTTAATACAGAAATGCTGCTTTGTTACAGTAATTCTGCCAGTCTGCAATGCAATCCTGCTTGAGAAAGGATCGAAAGGACCTCCTCCGGCAGCCCCTACTACCCGCTTTCCACGATGCTGCGCGAGATGAACGGAGGTCCTATTTCCGGCCGATATTTAAATCCGAGGGGGACCGAATTTGCTCGACCTTAACCGAAGCGTTCGGGTCCGGCTGTCACATTCGTGGCGTACCGAATGCTCGTCTCTTGTGGCGGCGACGACGGCGACGGCGGCGGCGTAACGCGTTAATGAAAATGGCAACGCGTCGCGACGCCATGTGGCAGCCTCAACGGGATACGCACGGCTGCAAATTGCGCTGCTTTATCAATCTGAAATAACATCGGCGCGGAACAATTAACGACGACGCGAAACTTACGGGGACTTCATCGATCAACGGAAGGATCATGTTACGGTATGGCTGACATGTATGTTTGATTCTGTAAAGTATTGTAAACGTTACGACAGATTACACGTTCAGGGGTGATACTATATAATTTTGCACGTTTTATTATAGATAGACGGATGTATATCTGAGAGAGAAATAGCGTGTTTAAGAGATTGCAGATATTCCATCTTGATAAGCAACGTAAGTTATTACTACTTATTACCATTTACAAAGTCTTATTATTTGTTTTTATTATTTTGTCAAAAATATTGTTGAATATTACTTGTATGTTACATATTATAATAGCTAGTGTTTGTGTTGTCTCAATATATAAATGTTTTTGTTTTTGTTATGGTGTAAAACTTAAAAATTTGTAAAGTGTTTTATAAATCAAAGATATAATATTTGAGAGTCAGCATTCTAAAGTTCCTTTAAAATAGAAAAATTATGGTATAAGAATAGTAAGAAATCAACTTTGTAACAGTAAAGATATCTCACATGTATCTAAAAAAATGTAATATAATGTGTATATATATATATATATTTTTATATATATAATAATACATTTATTATATATAAATTATAATTTTTGCCAAAATTTATATGTATATTATTAAAAGTGATTTTTTATTGTTTTTCTATTTATATATAAATCTTTATAAGTATGTAAGACGTGTTTTACAAGTGCTTGATGAACTCAAAAATAAGCAAATGTCTGTGTTAGAACAATATAACGTTGTTCATAAATTAAAGATACTTTTAGTACTACTTTTCTAATCTTCTCACATAAGAAAATATAAAAAGCTTTCATTATTGTTATTTTTACAGATATTTTCAGTTCGCAAGCAGAGGATAGCGAAAGCATTAATTCGCAAAGCAAAGCACATAGCACACACAGCAATTTAGAAATATACAGGGAACCTTCAAAATAGTCCAATGAAAAATATTTCTGAAAAAAACAGTGCAATTAGTTTGTTAAGTCTGCTGCAAAATTGTGTTAATAAAAGAACATTGTGATAAAGAAATATATTTTTAGGAGATAGTATTTTGTTTTTATGTTATATCCATTGTGCCTGGCTAAACATTACATAAATTCCGTCCACGTCAAGATATATTATTTAATATATGTTTTAAACCAGATCATAACTTTGGAGTTCATATTTATCTTCTTTAATATATGAATATATATTTGTCTTAAAAAAACATTTAATGTCTTGAAAAATTCGTCTTGTGTTAATTTGTATAATTATTTTAAGATAACTTGTATATATTTGTACAACAATAGAATAGATAATATATGCACTTAATATTTCAACTTTTGGTTAAATTATGTTTTTAAGTGATACTTGCTGGCTCACATAAATAATGTAATCCTAATTATATTCATAATTGCAATATCCTACTTTTTAATCTATCACGCGTATCACAATAAATAAATAATGTAGCATGCAATATATCTCAGATATGACAGTAAAGTTCCTGCTTATCCCATTGTGATTAAGTCTATACTTAGTCAATGTCGAAACTAAACGTTAAATCTAGATCTAAAGTTCGTGAAATTTACATTAAGGCTCCCGGCTCTTTACTATAGTTATATATTGGATTATGATCTTTTATGATAGTTAATCAAAGTTTACAACCATCCATGTTAGTCCACGTTTCATAAATCTGTCCCGTCGAATACGAGTTGTGACATGCGAAAAAACTAATTTATTTTTACGTATGGTGCAGGAAAAATATCCATATGGTTATTCTGCCTCTCTGACGTTATGATCCAATATGACTATAGCAGCAGGGGACCAAGAGTCCTAAATGTAATTTTCCATGATAAATTAAAAAAAAAACACATTGAATTTTGCCAGGCATGTTTCGACTTTAGTTCTATTTGTTGCATTATACTCATAAATTAATAATAAAATCGATATTACTTGTTAATGATGAAACGGTTTGACGGATACGGGGTCACCGTGAATTTACAGTCGGTCCTGCCTTTAGATATGTAGATTGACCGAATTCGCTGGATATCTATTTGTTCTATTATTCATTTTTAACCCAGCTTTGGAAATGCTATTTTAGCACCCGTTCTCTTGTTTTGTGTCGCCAGGCGAATAATTATCCTGGCCATTGCTACGATTAATATTACAGCTTTTTTATTATTACGGCGCTACGGTCGCACGAATGTAACGCCAGTCAACGTCGAACAAAGTCGGGAATTTATCGCGGACGGCTCTCTCGGTTAATATACATAACGCCAGCTAATATTCGTCGTGCATTTGTATTTTTGTATAAATTTTACATCCGACGATGGCCGAACGCGGCCGAAAATATCCGAGATTTTTAGTCTGTTGCATCCATCG